ATTTGTACCTGGTAATATCCAGATTTAAGATCAAATTTAGAAAAGATCACAGCAGATTGTAATCTATCTAAAAGATCTTTGATGTTGGGAATTGGGTATCGGATCCAACTTAAAGTAAGATTAAGTGGTCGATAATCAATAACCAATCGAGGAATTCCTCGTTCTTTTTCAGCATTTTTATTGACATAAAAAGCTCTGCAACGCCAGGGGGAGTAGCTAGTAGTGACAAGCTTTTTAGCCATTAAAGAGCTGATTTCAGCCTTACATAATTCCAAGTAGTCAGCCTTCATGTGGCTGGGACTAGCTTTTGAAGGAATCATGCTATCGGTAAACCCCTTGATATAGGGTAAAGAAACAATATGCTTCTTTCTGGCCCAAAAAGCATTAGGAATCTCACTACAGATTTCTTTTAAAAAGTGTTGCCGTAGTGACTCAATTTTCTGTTGCTCTTTGGGTTGTACCAATCTTTGATTAATTGCTAAGGAGGATACCTCCTGTTGCAAATAATTCAGTTGCTTTTCCTTAAAGATAATATTATCTTTAAGGGCATTGATATGCTTATTTACTGGTGGGGTCAAGAACTGAAAAGTTATTGACTGACCATGTAAAGTAGAGCATATTCCATGAGAATCAATTTTCTCAATTGGCATAATCAAGGCTAAAAAGGGAGTGCCCAAAATAACCTGTTGTGCCAAGTTTCTGATGAGTAAGAAAGTAGATGGGATACAAATACCTTCTTTACAAATGAACACATGATTAAGTTTATACTTAATCTGCATCTTACCTCCACTTGCACTGGTAAGACCTTGAGTGGTTTTCTCAAAATATTGAGTAGGAACCAATCCTTCCTGGATGCAGTTCATGTCTGCACCACTATCAACTAAAGCAATTGCATTAGTGAGTGTGTACTCCTGATTAATTACCAAATTGATAGTAATATACCATTTTTGGTAAGTAACTTGATTCAAGAGTTGAAGATAATTATTACCTTCTTCTGATTGAGGAGCTTCCTCCTTGGATGAGGAAGATGGAATTGCAGATTTTCCTTTTAAAAGAGTAATTTCCAAATCCATCTTAGTCTGACGAGACTTTAATTGACGAATTTCTTCTTTTAAAAGATTAATCTCCATCTTGAGGTCAGGGAGATTAGCAGGACGCGAATTTTGTCCTTGGTGTTCTAATCTGCTTAGAACTTCTTTCATACTGTAATGATTTTCTGCTCGCAGAAAATCTGGATTATCCGTATCCTCATTAGATCATACTAAAGCATAACCTATTTCAAAGACTTTCATCTTGATATGAGGATCCTGGATATGATCTATAAGATCCAATAAGGATTGTTGAGTGGAAGTTAAAACATTTAAGCTTAACCCATTCATCTCAACAATTGCCTTATAATAATCATCATGCGACTGATTACAGGAACATCTAGGGTTTTCAATCTCTGCTTCAGAGGAAGAAGAAGATTGTAATTCCATGACAACATCTCCATAATCACTTGATGATTCTGGTTCAGAAGAACTAGTATTAAGTAACAATTTACTTAATTGAAGTCTCAGTTCCTCTTCTATGTGAAGACTACTGAGCTTCTCCTTAGTTCTACACTTGTTTGCATAGTGGCCAATGCGCCCACATTTGAAACATTTAGCCTCAGCCTTGGGCTTTCCTTTGCCCTTTGCTTTCGGAGTATATCTCCTTTTAGGCTTAGTATACTGTCTAGAATTATCCTTTTCCTTTGAATAATTCTTTCTTTTGGAATACTTCCTTTTATAAGGTTTTTCAACCTTATTTCTTTTCCTAGGTTTAGGATAAGATAAGGGAGTCTGATAGGCAAATTGATCACAAAATTCACCTACTTCCTTTCGACCAGTTAATCTTTGGGATTTTAACTGGGATTGTAATTTCAGATCATTACAGAGAGCTAGACCTTCCTGGATTACAATGTTAACTAATCCACCATAGGTATAATTTCTGTAAGGGATAGAGATACCATTATTTAGGTCTCTAAGCTTTTTCCGGATTCTTTCAGCAAAAAAGGTTGGTAAGCCATCTACAAATTTGGCCTTCCAGTGCTCATGATTTGCATCATTGAGCTGGAGAACCTTTGCCAAGAATACATCTTTATACCACCGGAAATGAGTTAAAGATGGACATCTTAGATTCTGTAGAAGTTCCCGACTCCGTTCACTATTAGCTCCTTCAGGGCCAACAAAATGTTGGATAATAGTGGTAATGAGTGTATAAACCGCATCAGCAGCAGGGCCTGATTGTTGAGTAGCTTCATCTTTAATAATTTTGGTAGCCGCAAAGATTTCAGCTTTCTGAATGTCAGTGAGAACATTATCCCACCATCCTTTAAGGATTCCTGTAAAACCAGCAACGACAAACTTAGCAATGGTTGGGTCAGTATTGTGGTTGATTTTACAGACTTGGCTATACATCAAGATTTGATGAATAACCTCGTAAATCTGATAATCAGATTTGCCATCTATGTTCCATTCATAAATGGTCTTGCCATGAAAAGATTTCTGGGTATGAAAATAATCTTCTTCATACAAGATATCTTGAGGTGTGGGTCTGGGATAATAATATCGACTCGGAGCAGGGGCTGTATTTGAGTGGATATTCTTATCATAGACAATTCTGTTGAACTCAGGTAACTGAGTAAGATCCTTTAGAACTTCCTCAATATGAGGCAACACATTCTCAGAATCAGAACCAATTTCAGATTCATCATGGGATAAAGTCTGAATTTTGAGTCCTTGAATTTTCTGAGTAAGAAGAGTAAGAAATTCTTCATTCTTCTTAGGATGTGTCAGATTGAAGCCTTGAACTTCAATTGCAGGTTTTACCAATGCTTTGGATACAGAAGCTTCTGGAGGAGAAGTTTTTATAGAAATACACTTAGTATTAATTGTATTTAATACCGTGTCTATTCCTGTTTCAATTCTCCCAAGCTGGGATCCTATAGTTTGTAAGCAAACATTGGTATAATTATTCTGCTTGTAAACATGAGTAATGTCCTTTCTAGTAGCAGTACTAGTTGGATCAATTACTTTCGGTTGGCTATAAGCCTTGGTTTCCACTTTAGAACCACTGTCCGGGTCAATTCTTTTGAGAATGAGATGGTCAGGGGGAGGATGGACAGAGTGGAAAACCTTATCTTCAGATGTGGTCCATGGTTTGAGGAAATCATCCAATATGTTAATATTAACAAGAGAATGATTGGTCATGTAAAACCAAGAAACAAAAGGTATAACCATTTTGCGTTCTTGTAGAAATTCATAAAATTGGGTTTTGAAAAGTTGCAATTGATTTTGGTCAAAACTTTTGAAATACCAACTTCTGAACTCTTTATATTGATCCTGTTGAAATTCAACATTAATGGCAATTCTATCCGGGACAAAATCCATTAAAACTAATATTCATGCGGGTCATTAATGTCTGTGGGATCTTCAAACTGATCCTTGACAGATTCGTTTCCGATTCCCATTTCAGATGGAGTTGGGCTGAATTCAATTCCAAATTGGCGACGAGACATACCTATTGGTGCTTTCTCGTAAACTCCTCTTGGAATCTGATTCGGAGATTGTTGTATTCCTTCCAGCTTGAGCTTGGAATCAACTGCTTCAGGGAGTCCCTCTTTACGGTAATCTGACGAGATCGAGTGTCGAGAAGGAGGACAAGAAACACGATAAGGAAGATGACTTCCTTTGGTGATGTTTTTCTGAATTTCAGAAAATCCATCGATCATACAAAATAGAGCTAGTTTGGCCCGCAAACACAGCTCTTGATTTAATAAGAGTCTTATCCAGCATCGAATACAAATGCCAGTCTTGGACTTACAAGAATTGGATGGCAAGACTCAAGACACCTTACTTAGAGTAGTACTTATCCAGTGTCACAAGTAAGGACCCATCTAAAACCGTTTGGCTTTAGATCATTATTAAGCTTTAATGAGAATGTTGCGAGGTCGGATGATGGATAGAGGGAGCATCCACCCGGACGTGTTCGAGTAGAGGACTGCAAAATGCGATAATTCAAGAATTTTTGTTAAAAAAAAAAAAAAGTTTATATTCATTTAACACATTTTATTGATTGGCTGAATAAGAGAACAAGGGGTGCACATGATTCATAACAGAATTGAAACCGGAATCGGTCACAACGATTCCTTAAAAGTAGAACCGGAATCGAAACTGAAACTGAATGTATATGAACCGAACCGATTCGGTTCCACAAAATTGTTGACTAAGGAAGATGATGAAGCCGTAATGATAACAAGACGACAACATCACGACGGTGTGTGGTTTTGAGAAATTAGAAACCAAAATCACCGATAAACAACCAATCAAAGTTCAACAGAGGACACCGATACAGAAGATGGGAGGAGACTCCTTCACCAAAAAAAGAGAAAACTTTACATTATGCTTTATTGCTTTTGTGGTTTCCATGAAGTCAATGACACCAAGTCCAATAATGGGGATCACGCGGGTGAGGAATCTGATTACTAAAATAGGCTAATTGTGACTGTACACTAGACAACTAAATATACAATATATGGCAGACAAACTTGACACTTCTTATGACAAAGAAAAAAAGAAAAAAGAAAAAAGAAAAAAGTATGGTTAGTAATATTATATAATTAAATATAATATATATATATATATATATATTTATTTATATATACTGTTCCGGTTTCGGCTCGATTTCACAAGTCTAGAACCGGAATCGAAATCGTAAGCACCGGTTCCAAATTTTCAAAATTGGGATCGAAATCAGAACTGTAAAAATCAAAACCAAAGTCCAATAATTCAGTTCGGCGCTCACGGTTTTACAAATTTTTTGTGCACCCCTAGAGAACTGCTAAAAGCTTTTCAAACCACAACATTGCAGATATAAAGACTGAGAGCAGGCCCACAAGTTACTGGACAGACAGACTAATTATGTATGTGTGTATGTGTAATGTGTACATGTAGATATAGTTGACCCAAAGTCGTATGAAACACTTTTTGGCAAGATATTATATATTTGGAGGTCTTCTTCTCCTTCTTCTCTGTCATCATCATTTTTGTTAATTGAGATTGAGGGATCCAAGATGTGGCAACTAATGAGGGACACTGGCATCACAACAAGACCATTGTTCCTCCTTTGTGTTCTGCTTCTGTTCCAGCTGTTACACAGGCCCTGTTTCTCTATTGGAGGCGATACTCTTTCAATGAACCAGACTCTGTCAGAGGGCCAAACCCTGGTTTCTCAAGGTAGCAATTTCGAACTCGGTTTCTTTACAAAAGGTACTCCACTTAGCTTCTATCTTGGCATATGGTATAAACATTTCGCTGAGAAGATCATGGTTTGGGCAGCTAACAGAGAAAACATGTTTTCTAATACATTTCCATTAATCCTTGAATTCTCTGAAGATGGTAATTTAATCCTGCACAGTCGTTTTGATAAAGATCCAATTTGGTCAACAAATTTTGTGTCACCAAAGTCAAATTCCACTGAAGCAGTGCTTCAGGATAATGGAAATTTTGTAGTTAGAGATGTTACAAATCCATCTATAATATATTGGCAGAGTTTTGATCACCCAACGGATACATTGCTGCCTGGTGCAAAGCTTGGCATCGATAAACGTACTAGCAAAACTCAAGTCCTTACTTCATGGAAAAATTCAGAAGATCCTGCTCCTGGTAAATTTTCTTTCGAGATAGATCGGGTTGAAAAAAATCAATATTTTTTGGAGTGGAACAACTCCAAAAGGATTTGGGGCACTGGAGTTCGGAATATTGGTCATAGTTTTAGCTCTAGTTCTGTTGTTGCTGATGGGGGAGAGTATTCTTTCAAATTTATATCAAATGAAAACGAAAGCTACCTTACATATTCTGTTTCCAATTCTTCTATATTTTTTAGACTTGTGATGGATATGTCAGGAGAACTCAGGCTGCTACAATGGTTTGCTGGCAATTGGGATTGGTGGGTAGTTTGGTCTCAGGGTTATGCTTCTTGCGGGGCATTTGGCATCTTAAGAGAGAGGTTCTGGGGCTCATTCTGTGAATGTTTGCCAGGTTATGAGCCATTCTCAATTGAAGAAACAACACTACTAAATGATTGGTCAGGTGGTTGTGTGAGCAAAACTCCATTGCAGTGCGAAAATGGTACTAATATCAATGCGATGACTGATGGATTTTCAAAATTTCCAAACACAACATTGCCAGAAAATTTGAAAGTACTTCCTGGGAGGGGCCCTGAATGGTGTAAATCAGCTTGCATGCAAAATTGTTCTTGCACGGCTTATACTTATAATAGTAGTGGGTGTTTAGTATGGGAAGGGGATTTATTGTTTCTACAAAAACTCCGATTTGGAATCAACACTAAACAAGATCTGTATTTGAAACTAGCTGCTTCGGACCAGCTTCCAAATGTTCGAGGTATGTGTCTGCAAATTGCAATAAATAAAAGTAACTTCTACCCAAACAGTACTTATACAGGGTTGTGTTTTGATTTGTGATTAACCGTGATTCTAACATACCCGTTTCAGGTGACAAGAAGAACTTGAGGGTGATCATAGCAGTGCCGGTTTCGCTAACACTAATTATTTCTGTTGGGTTCATATACTGTTTAATCAGGAGAAAGCTCAAACAAATAGGTATAAGCTGTAGCCACATAACTTTCTGCCCATATTCAAAGAAATCATTCATTTTGTAAGTAAATCAATTAGGAAATGATGACAAAACCTCTTTCAAGAGAAAAATTTAAGAATATGCACACTTAGAATTGAGTTGGACTATGTATGGACCACAAAATATCTTTTTTGCAACTTATTGTCGTTCTTAGAAGTGTGATTTCCAAATAATTGACAATGGCTTCTTGTTCTGTGATAAACAGGGGAGGAAGATTCAAGTGAGGACTTATTATTATTTGATTTTAGTGCTAGCGCTAGTGCTAATGCAGCTGCTGAGACAAACACCGGAAATAATCTAGGGAGAAGTGGGAAGAAGGATGTTGAGTTGCCATTGTTTAGCTTTGCGAGTGTGTCTGCTGCAACGGGTAACTTCTCCGCCGCAAACAAGCTCGGAGAGGGAGGGTTTGGACCTGTTTACAAGGTAAGGTTGAAGATATAAACTGAAGTGTTTTACCTTAGAACCAATAGCAATTTTCGAATCCCAAATTTAATGTTGAAAACTATTCATTAAGAACTTTAATTTCGACTTTAATCATCTTCTCAAATGAAATGACTTGGCCTCTCTAGAATCTTGCTGACAAGATGGCTTCCTCATCAGCAGTTACACATGTTTCTTAAACAGGGTAATTTACTCAAAGGGCAAGAAATAGCAGTCAAAAGACTTTCTCGAACATCTGGACAAGGGCTCCAGGAGTTCAAAAATGAGACACTATTGATAGCCAAACTCCAGCATCGAAATCTTGTTAAACTCTTGGGTTGCTGCATTGAGCGAGATGAAAACATATTAATCTACGAATATATGCCCAATAAAAGTTTGGATTTCTTCCTATTTGGTTAGTGTTTTCCGATATTTAATTTCTGTTTGAACTTAGACATATGGTATATGTTCAACATATATTTATTAATGTGTAACTCAAGGCAGGTCCAAACAAACAAGGGATGTTGGATTGGAGAACAAGTATTCGCATCATTGATGGAATTGCTCAAGGACTTCTTTACCTACATCAATATTCAAGGCTTCGTATAATTCATAGAGATCTAAAGGCCAGTAACATTCTTCTAGATAGCGAAATGAACCCCAAAATATCAGATTTTGGCATGGCAAGAATTTTTGGTGGTAATGAATCACAAGCAAACACAAACCGTATTGTTGGAACTTAGTAAGTAAAAGAAAATTTCTTTACTAACACTTACACAACTTATATATGATACATTAAAGAAATATCTAATGCGATTTATTCAAACTGGTTTTGTTGGATGGTAAAATTCAGTGGGTATATGTCCCCTGAATACGCAATGGAAGGCCTTTTCTCCATAAAATCTGACGTGTTTAGCTTTGGAGTATTGTTGCTTGAGATCATGAGCGGCAAGAAAAACACTGGTTTTTATCATAGTGACTCTCTTTTCCTCCTTGGATATGTAAGCACTTAGAATACCTTTCCTATCCTTTTTCTTTAAACTTCTTTTATGTAGCAAAATTGATGATTTAAGATTAAACTGTACATGGTGATTATAAATAATATAATTCAATGTTTCAGGCATGGGAGTTGTGGAGCGCTAATAGAGGGGTGGAGTTGATGGACCCACTATTGGGTAATCCTCCTTCTGCTACTACATTGTTGAGATATATTAGCATAGGGCTTCTATGTGTCAAAGGAAATGCAAATGATAGACCTACCATGTCTGACGTTGTCTCAATGCTTACCAATGAATATGCACCTCTACCAATACCTAAGGAACCTGCATTCTTTACTGGCCGAGGTGTGATGAACACGAATCCCCCACTTAGTAATGCTGAAAACTGTTCAGTAAATACTGTAACACTATCAATTATTGAGGCCAGACGAAATGACAATCTCATATCATATTCCAAGACATTTTTGTTTCAAATAGAAATCTTAATATGTTTGATTGTTCTATGAGATCTGGTATACTTTATCTCTCTATGCTTTTATTGTTATTTATTTTTGGGGTGTGATATTGATTCTTTTATCTAGCTATTGTAGCTTTCAGAAGCTATCTCTAGGATTTGCTTGCTTTGAAAGTATTTGAAACTAGAAATTTTACTACTGATGTCATGTTGGTCACCACCTCAGGCCCATCTGAATGTCTAATTGATGCCTCCCTACACACTATACCCAAACCTCCCCAATTTTTCTTCCTATATTACAAGAAAAGGCCTCTATAATTTGAAGAAATTATAATAAAAAAAAAAAATCTATTTTTATAATATTTAAAGTCAAGGTTCCATCTTTTTTCCTTTTCTTTGGACAACTAATACCTTCATAAACTTGTAAACTCTCCTAAGCCATAGGTATTGTGTATGATTCAACTCAACTAGTCTGTAAGACTTCAAGGTTCCATCTTGGCAATGCGTTCACTGAAAAGTAGAGCTGTAAGGCCTCAATCTTCTTCTAGAATCCTAACATGAAAATCAAGTACTCACTCGGGAAAGGTCCTCTCAATGCTCTTAACACTCCCACCGGATATGGATCGAAGTGTCTCACTACGGATATGGTCTGAAATGCACTTGGGACAACCCACTAAACCATCACTCATTTGAGATTGCCCTTAAAGCCTGTTTGGAAAATTTCCAAAGCGCTTTTACTATGACCCAAGTCCATCAAGTTGGGTCCTTTAATCCGGTTGAAACAAGCCCAAATTTGACTAGAAAATAAAGCCCATTTAAAATGTATTAATACAATACATTTTTGTTAATATGTACAGAAATCGAGAGTTATATGGATAATGCTTCAGTCCTGTCCATCAAGACAGATTGTCAACCTCTTATTGGAAACGTTAGTGTACAGGACACAATCTGTTTTGATAGGACATGACTGGAAGCATTATCCTATATATATTATTGCTATTACAAATTGTCTCCACAGAAAGAAATTTCTGGCTACACTGGGTCTTAACTTGGATGTTGGGGGTTTGGTAATAGATGTGGAGGGCTACACCTGTAAACAACTATAACAATCACATTTTTTTGTTTCAAATCAACGAATTTGAAATCTGTTGTTTGGATCAAATTGTATGGAAATATTTTGATTTAATTTTTGAAATCTATACCTTGTCATCCATTAATTTTGCAACTCAGTGGGTTCTAAAATTTTAGCCAACAGAAAGTAACTAATATGGATACACCACTCACAAGAGAATGGGAGTGAAGTGGGAGAGAACCAGAACTTGCACCTCTACCGACGCCAAAGCCGCCTGCTTTTCTTCCAGTCGACCGAGTGTGGCAAATTGTTGAGTAAACGGTCTAACAATTTCACAGAGGTTTCTTATGCCACAACTATTTGTTTCCAGAACCAGAACTATTTCGGTTATTAATTTGTTCTTTGAATATATGAATCCGTTCAATTGTTTTTTTCTTTGTAAATATTGATTCGCCTTATTCAGGAACAAATTGTTGGTATGAGAGGTATGTGCTTTAGGTGTTTGACTTAATGTGTCATAGACTCAAGATTGCCTTTTCATACCATGTCATGTTAGAAGCTTAGCTATGAGAATCTGACATTCCTCAGCACAATAAAAAACAAAAACAATGAGAATCTTGCCGGTGTTGTTCAGCACGGTTCCTATTTCATTCTTCAAGTTATGGAATAAATTTCTTTATGCTAGTTATCATAGTGAAAGTGCTGATAAGTATTACTGTAACTAATTGCGACAATGTTTGCATTAGTCAATTGTCTCTACTTCTAAATATACTCCCTATATGTTTGCATTAGTCTCTCTTTTTATGTCTTTTAGATGTAGAAAAATGATAAAAATTTCGAATCGATATTATTATTGACAGATGATTTAAACATCTTGAAAAGAGAGAGATCCGTCTTTATTCATCACTTAGACACTAAGGATTGGAATAGCTATAAAAAAAAATCGATCCTGTAGTTTAGCAGATATAATATATATTTCAACTAAAGGTGGAATAACTGGCATTGATTATATATGGGGGGAAATCTCTATATGTATATTATATTATACATAAACTTTCTCTAGGAGTTTGACCCATGCCTCATAGGTTGAAGATTGCCTTGTGGACACAAAGTCATGTAAGAGAAGTAGGGTATATTAAATCATGGGACTGTGTGCTCTGACTTTTCAACAGTAGGGTACATAGCAGGCCTACAAATTAATGGACAGATTGACAATGTTGCACAGAATGTTGCAATCAACATTCCGGCCTTTTTCGCCCGGCTCCATATTTCCACTGATTGTATATTATGTTCACATTTAATGCCAATTATTCCACAACTTAACCAATCAGTGGGAATATGGAGCAGGGGCGCCTAAGGCCCCAACCAATAAAAAAAAAGTCTCAAAATATTATAATTGTCTAATATATAATATATTGTAATTATTTCTTTATTGAACACTAATTCTAAATTATTTATCTCCTAAAATAAGTCTTCTTCTTCTTCTTTTTTTTTTTTTTTTTTTTTTTTTTTTTTTTTTTTCGTTAAACTTTAACCAAGAGAGAAATTATTTATCTCCTAAAATATCTCATTTTTTTTTTATTTCTCTCCTAAAATATCTCATTAATATTTTATTTCTTTGTCTATCTTATACTCTCTTTTTTATACTCGTTTTTTTTTTACACCAACACTGTATATATTTAATATTTTTTTGGTAAATTGCACCACAATTACTATGTAGCTGGGGAAATAAATAAACTTTTCATATTATCTTTTTCTAGATTTTTATTTTATTTATTTAATAATTAATATATTGCATAGTATGATATGAAAAGGCCCTCAAAAAGTAAGAAGGATGATTTTAAATTAATTATTATTTAATAATTAATATATTGCATATAATGATATAAAAATGTCACTTTTACTTTTTGCCTAAGGTCCCGATTTACAACGAGCCGCTGCTGTATGGAGCCAGGCGAAAAGGGCCGGAATGTGTATATATATTTATATATCACATATATAAATTACACATAGATAAACTTACTTCCCTTCATGTTCGCATTTAATGCCAATAATTCCACAACTTAACCAATCAGTGGGAATATGGAGCCAGGCGAAAAAGGTCGGAATGTTGAATACATCGATGTTTTTTTATCCTGGCAATAAGAAGAACACCCATACAACATTTACAAACACTGTAAAAAATGGTCATACAAATGCAAACAAATCATGAAACAACAAAAGAAAAAAAACTGAAGAATAGACTTCAGATTTGTTGAGAAACAAACTAACACACAACAACGGAAACTACCAAGAGGAAAGGAGTAACAAGCGGGAGTGACCCAAACGTCAGGCCATCATCAAGGCAACAACTCCAAGGCTTCATCCACAAGGCGCCGCTGACTGGGGAAAAAACCATCCAACCCCGCACAAGAAGGCGGTAACAACAAAACCTGACATAGATCAGAGATTTAGCCGGAGACAAAACAACATATCTACCTTGTCAAGCTAGAAAACCAGCCAAACAAAAATAGATTTAGCAAAACAACAGTAAAACGCACGTGAAACCAACCACCGAGTAAACTATTTACAACATGCCGAGTTTATTAAGTAGTGGGTGGCAAGGATCGACACCTCCCCACTCCCATAGGAGGGAGTGGGGAGCAAGCAGAAGGAAGAGAAAGAAGGGTGGCGGTTGAAGGGTTAGAGAGAGGAGAGAGAAAAGTTAGACAGAGAAAGTGTAACGACCCAAAATGATACAAATCATAAAAAAAATTTGGCATGACCTCTACTAAAAATCGTCCTATAACAACCTGCTAAAATACATAAAAATGCAATGGCCTCTCTTAGATCTTCAAAACTAATCTAACCTGTCCCAACATACAATGCAAATAATATAAAATATTCCTAAAACAACAACATCAACAACCTCCTCAAAATAGCCCATCATCATCATCCCATTCATTTAGAACAAAGGAGTATCTGTCTTATTCATAGTCCCATGCTCACATACTAGAATTTTACTCCAATTACATCAACTTACAGTCCATGAAGCAAAATTACAATAATAAGAGTTCATAAGTCTCTATACCGAATATAACAAACTAAGGTTTTACAAAAAATATGATAGAACTTAGATACAAAAATAACAAAATGATCCTCTAATCCAAATTAGGCCGACGGTGGAACGTCATCCGCCACTTCTTTCCCATGTCCTAAAAAGTGTTAAATAATAGGGTGAGCATAAAGCTCAGTAGAAATCGCCTAAGACATCAGTTTTGGACTCTCTTGAGCCACGTAACATGTAAAAGAATAGAATTGGAATCGAGGTCATACAATAGGGCTCATCCAACATTTTCAACTTAATAGGCAACAATCCCAATACTTAACACAATTCCACAATTGATGTGCATAATTTAAAATGTGATGTACCCGTCCCAATTCTGGTCCATATCGACCCAACCCACACTTTTTGGAAATCCGCTAACTGATTTTACCAAGGTGAGATTAATAACTATCCCCGGTTCCAAATCCAGCAATTGTTAAAGGGCCTAGTATTAACTTTTTCATGCCCTACACTGGGCCGTGCTCCCTGTAGGTCAAGCTAGCCCCGAACTCGCGAAATATGGTTCATTTAAAAAAAAAAAAAAAAAAAAAAAGTTCCCTTTTCTAAAAAAAACAAACTTCACTTTCTAAAAAATATCTTCTTTTCAAATCTTCTCCCAAAATTCCCCCTTTATGCCATGATATGCAATGCAATGACTTTCACCCTCAAAAGCTCAAATTCATCATTATAGTGAAAACCACATCATCATGGCATTTTATGGTAATCAATTAAAATTATGGCATATTTTAAAAATTCAATACAACAAGAACATTATTATCTCAAATAAATCATGTACAAGAATTATCCACAAGCAAGTTCACATGTAATTATATACACCATGTCATGCCATTAATTAAACATAAACACAAATCTCATATAACAAAAATCAAATAGCCCTTTAACACAAATTAAAACAATTCATG